CAATTTCTTGCTCGACACGTCTCCAAAAGCAAGGGAAATAAAAGCAAAAATGAACTATTGGGACCTCATCAAGACAAAAAGCTTCTGCACTGCAAAGGAAACAATTAACGAAACTAAAAGGCAACGGATGGAATGGGAGAAAATATTTGCAAATGACGTATCAGATAAAGGGCTAGTATCCAAAATCTATAAAGAATTTACCAAACTCAACACCCAAAAAACAAATAATCCAGTGAAGAAATGGGCAGGAGACATGAATAGACACTTTTCCAAAGAAGACATCCAGATGGCAAACAGACATATGAAAAGATACTCAACATCACTCATCATCAGGGAAATTCAAATCAAAACCACATTGAGATACCACCTCACACCGGTCAGGGGGCGAAAATTAACAACTCAGGAAACAACAGATGTTGGCTAGGAGGTGGAGAAAGGCTAACCCTCTTGCACTTTTGGTGGGAATGCAAACTGGTGCAGCTGCACTGGAAAAGAGTATGAAGGTTCCTCAAAAAATTAAAAATAGATCTACCCTATGACCTAGCAATAGCACTACCAGGAATTTATCCAAAGGACACAGGAGTGCTGATTCACAGGGGCAGATGTACCCCAGTGTTTATAGCAGCACTTTCAACAATAGCCAAATTATGGAAAGAGCCCAAATGTGCATCAACCAATGAATGGATAAAGAAGACATGGTTTATATATACAATGGAATACTACTTGGCAATGAGAAAGAATGAAATCCTGCCATTTGCAACAATGTGGATGGAACTAGAGGGTATTATGCTAAGTGAAATAAGTCAGAGAAAGAAATAGATCATATGTTTTCACTCATATGTGGAACTTGAGAAACTTAACAGAAGACCTTGGGGGAAGGGGAAAAAATAGTTACAGAGAGGAAGGAAGGTAAACCATAAGAGACTCTTAAATACAGAGAACAAACTGAGGGTTGATGGAGTGGGGGGTAAGGAGAGGGGAAAATGCGTAATGGGCACTGAGGAGGGCATTTGTTGGGATGAGCACTGGATGTTGTATGGAAGTGATGAATTACGGGAATATACCCCCAAAACCGAGAACACACTGTATGCACTGTACGTTAGCTAACTTGACAATAAATTATATTAAAAAAATAAATAAGCAAACAAACAAACAAACTTAAAAAAATAAAGTATGATTCTTGATGAGAGGTCAGATTTAAACTATAATGTAGCCACCTTATAGGTCTTAGGCAGGGAAAAATGGTTAGGAGTTATATAGGCTTGCCTTGACCATGACCAAGTTTCAGGAAGAGGGCAAAAGGAAGGCAGAGTACTCAGAATATAAAAAACAACCTGCCACTTAAATAATACATTAATCTATGCTTAAGATCATAAAACCTGTCTCTATTACCCAATGCCCTCCAATTTCTTATGGTAGCTAAATTCCTCCTCTATTTTGGATATCAGAAGAAATACCTCTAACATGTTGGTTGATAGGGAAATAAATCTAATCTCAAGGGTGGATTTGAAAGAAACTGAAGAACAATCTGCTTCATGATTCTGGTATTTGGTGATATCGTAAACCTGTCCCTGATCCATAATGGATGGCAGAACAGGGATTCAAACCCAGTTACCAGTATTATTATTAGTTTACCTAAAAGTGAAGACTAAGTGAGTGTGTGTGTACGTATGTGTGTCTGTGTTCTGTTTTGAAGCATATTACTGCACATTTCTTGGAAACTGAGGCATCATTTATTTGATAGCTGAGATACAAACACTTAAAAATATGAGTTAAATAGTAAATACACATGTGAGGAGTAGGTTTTGGTGAAGATGGACTTCTCCTGGGATCTGCATCATGATCACAGTCATGTGCTACCTACATTCACAGGAATCTTTTGAACTAAAGTTTTGTGAAAATAATCTTAGACATACCATTTTATGAAAATGATGTCTACCTTAAAGCGTATAAACAGATTTTAAAAGACAAGGTTTTATTGCTCTAAAACTAAAATATAAGGCTAACTTGTTTTTCGGGCATCTCTATTTGCTTTCCTACTTCAGTTTAATTTCCCATATGCAAAAATCCTTCTAGATGAGGACTTCAAACTATCACTACAACTACACAGTAAGAAATAAATAAGCCACCAGAGGCAAAGACTACCTTCATAAATTAAGCAATTTAGTTTTCTTCTAATATCCTTTCTCCATATGTAAGTCATAGATTTAATTTATTTTTATTGTTTTCATTTGGTAAATGATTGTTATACTTCCTAACATAGGCTGTAGTGTTTTAACTTGGATTTAATGTACACAGTAATTCCCAAACAGCAGGACACAGCAATTAAATAATGCAAAATAAATGGCTAAACCAAAGTATTTGGCCATATAAGCTTGCTACAGAAGAGCATCCAGTCATTTAAAAGCAGCTGTACACTAAAACTAATCAAAGCCATAATAAACCAAATTAGACATGTGGTGAAATCTGACAATATCCATACAGCATTTGGCCAGGTGCTTGAAGATTCATCATTGCATTTTTCTTCTCTTTCATTTGGATTAGGGCCAAAAGAAAATAATTCACAGGCTTTCCACTGCAGTAACCAAAGCAGTTGCAAATTTAGGTATGAAATATATTTTTCAATAGCTGCTAAATGGCATCAACTACCCCCATAAAAACTCATTTCCATGTGATTTTTGGAGAGTCATGTTTTCATAAAGGAACTAAATATATGAAAGATATTTTCAGAATTTTAAACTTGTTTTATCAATAACTTTCATCTCCATTTAGGATGCTTTGTTTTTATACTATGACTTGGTAAGATTAAGTCAAGGTGTTTCTAACTGAATTATTTATATTTTAATCTTTAAAACATTATATACGTAAATGTTGGTTTTAGATATCTAACTTCTTATATCCTAAAACTTAAGATAAACAGGGATGATTAACAGTGCTTAGTAAAAGAATCTTTGGTGGGAAAGATATCACTTTTGGACAGCGTAATACAGAGTAAAAAAAATACAGAAGCTACTACCTAAGACCAGGGAGCATGTCCTATTCATCTTTGTTTACGTACTGCATTTTTTAAAAGTTAATTAATTTATTTAGAGGAAGAGAGAGCATGCACATGCGAATGCACACAAGCGGGGGAGGGGCTTATGTGACATAGGGGTTGAAGTGAACATAGAAAAATCCCAAGCAGATTCCACACCATTGGTGCAGAGCATGATGCGGGGCTTCAACTCATGAACTGTGAGATCATGACCTGAGCCAAGATCAAGAGTTGGAGGCTTAATCGACTGTGCCATCTAGGCATCCCTACCTACTACATTTTATTCCCATGATCATAGGTCATATTTATACCAATTTATACTACTAACAGACTGCTCTTAGGAGTGTAAGTTGGTAAAATTTGAGAGTGTGAATAAAGAGGCTTAAAAATGTTGTATATGGTAACTCAAGACATAAAATCTACTTCTAGGAATTTATCCAAATAAGCAATCAGAAATATAAACAATTTATGAACAGATATTTACCTTGATTTGTTTATAATTATTAAAAGAAATGTATCCTAATATGTAAATATTTAAGTAAATTGTGATATATAGATGAAAGCATGCTATATTATTAAAAAAAATTTACAAAGAGTTATTAATGACATGGAAAAAAGACTCATTATTGAGTGAAGTAGAATGCCAAGTCCTATATCCAAGTATATTAACTATGTTTAAAAAAAAACACATATGCATAGGGAAAAAAACAATGAAATAAATGAAAGTTTTAATAGTAATTCAATTTTAGAAATTTATGTCATTCTTTCAATATTTTTCTGGATTTTCCAAATGTGTTATAACAGGCAAATTATTTTCACAGTCTGAAAACAGCAAGAAATACCTTAAAAGTTTCTCTCATATGAACTAAATTAATAAAACTACCTTCTTTATGATTTACAAGTCACTGTATAAGTTGTATAAATATGACTTTACCTCATCATTATCAGGAACTGGTTCATATAAGGATGGAACCCAAGCAAGTATATTGCAGTCTCTGCTACCACTATAAAGTTCCTGTAACACAGAGAGGAAACGTGATTGTGGGTCCATTTAAAGCTGGTGCCAATCTGAAATGAACTACATCATTTAAATAATTAATTCTTACGTTAGACCATTTAGATTAATTGTATTTCTACTCCCCAAAGAAAGTGAGCTGATGCCCTTTGTTTGCTTACTTAAGATGCAGTAAAGCCGTGTTCTGTATTTTAAAATATTGTTAGGATATGTCAGAGCTTGCTAATGTGAAAATTTCACAAGAAGATTCAACAACCTAGTGGTTTTTATCAATCATAGTATTCATTTATTTCAAGTGTCAGAGTAGAAAGAGGAAAAAAAATGGAATTAAGAGTTTGTCCTTCTCTGCTAACAAATGAATTTTAATAAGGACATCAATAAAGAAACCATATGAGTTTCTAACTAATAGGCCAGAAGTTCACAAAAAATATTATTTAGCTCATTATTTAGCTGCCTAACTAGCTACTGTTCAACAGAAGAGCTTTAAGAACAACATGCCATGCTTATTGAGAAGTTTCTTTTATAAGGGAAAGCTTGGGCTGATGCACAGTCTGTCAATGTCTTTATGAATATGCTGTTTACACACGCCTGAACAATGTTCATTCCCTTCCCCAAAAGAACTTAAAGAATGGGGCGCCTGGGTGGCTCAGTGGGTTAAGCATCCGACTTTGGCTCAGGTCATTACCTCATGGTTCATGAGTTTGAGCTCCATGTTGGGATCTGTGCTCACAGCTCAGAGCCTGGAGCCTGCTTCTGATTCTGTGTCTCCCTCTCTTTATGCCCCTCCCCTTCTCATGCTTTCTCTCACTCAAAAATAAATAAAAACATTAAAAAAAATTTAAGAACTTAAGGAATGTCATATTGCTAGTACTAAAAACATTCCTATGGGGCAGTGAAATAGATACTCTCATATAAAGATGGTATAAATTGGCATGATCTTTTTGGAGAAGGGAATCTCAATACATGTCAAAAGTTTTTGTATGCATTTCTAAATTTTTTTTAACATTTATTTATTTTTGAGAGACAGAGAGAGACAGAGCACGAGGAGAAGAGGGAGACACAGAATCCAAAGCAGGCTCCAGCTCCGAGCTGTCAGCACAGAGCCTGACGCAGGGCTTGAACTCACAAACTGCGAGATCATGACCTGAGCTGAAGTCATTCGCTTAACTGACTGAGCCACCCAGATTCCCCTGTATGTGTTTCTAAGAAGTCATGCCAAAGACATGCATGAAACTCAAGGATATTAGCAGTATTATATTTAAATAACAAAATATGGAAATAAATGTCCAAGAGTAGGGTAACGGTTTATATATAAATTTATGTTGCATTCATAAGATGGGATATTATATAACCATTACATTTGCTTTTATTTTTTTTAATTTACATCCAAATTAGTTAGCATATAGCACAGCAATGATTTTAGGAGTAGATTCCTTAACACCCCTTACCCATTTAGCCCATCCTCCTTCCCATACCCCCTCCAGTAACCCTCTGTTTGTTCTCCATATTTATGAGTCTCTGATGTTTTATACCTCTCCCTGTTTTTATATTATTTTTGTTTCCCTTCCCTTATGTTCATCTGTTTTGTCTCTTAAAGTCCTCATATGAGTGAAGTCATATGATTTTTGTCTTTCTCTGTCTAATTTCACTTAGCATAATACCCCCCAGTTCCATCCACGTAGTTGCAAATGGCAAGATTTCATTCTTTTTGATTGCTGAGTAATACTCCATTGTGTGTGTGTGTGTGTG